GTGTGTGTGTGTGTGTGTGTGTGTGTGTGTGTGTGTGTGTGTGTGTGCAGTGATATTCAGCTGGCCTCATAGTTTCTTAGCCGTGATGTTGTGCTATATCCTTGTCAATACATCCTCTGTTACAAATGTGGTCAACACATCCATCCATGTCTATAGCGAGTCTGCTGTCTGTGCTCCATTGCTGTCACCGTTAACAACAACAACAACAAAATATTGTCATTATTATTCGTCAGCCTCCACTGAGACACTCTCTTACTCTGTGATTTTTTTTTTTTGTGTGGACTTGCAGAGCAAGGGCCGTGTTCAGCAAAGCAGCACCCACACGCCATCGCCTCCTCTCAGCCCCAAAGTGGACCCTTTGGTGGTGATGGATGGAGAGAGTGCAGAAGGAGGAGAAGGAGAAGGAGAAGGAGGAGAAGGAGAAGGAGGAACAGGAGGAGGAGGAGAGGATGCAGCAGAGCCCGGGCTGAACGAGCAGCAGCAACAGGCGATGCAGCAGGAAGAGCGAATCCTCACCGAGCAGGTCGAGAGTTTGCAGAAAGAAAAGTACGGCGTCTCTGTGGTCGAACTGTTCAGACGACATTGGAAGTGTTTTGTTTAATGTGTCACATTAAGTTTGAACACAAGCCACCAAAGCACATGGAATTAGTTAGTCATTATAGCGGATGTATCTCTCGATGATGGCCTCCCATTAAATGAAGTTTCCAGTTTGAGCTGGTAGCTGTGTTACTGAATGTCATTACTCAGCAATCTGTTACATTGAACCCTTCAGTGACACACATAGAGTATTACATGTCAGGACAAAATTTAGCTTATCTTTAGTAGGAATATCTTGAAGGACAATTAGGAACTTAAGGTCAGTCCATCGTACTAAATCTAAATTACACGCTATAGGAAACGCCCAAAACTTAAAATGTAATCACAATAATTTAGATAAGCTCGTAACCTGCTGTCTGTCTGTCTGTCTGTGTGTGTGTGTGTGTGTGTGTGTGTGTGTGTGTGTGTGTGTGTGT